TGAAGAGGCCAATGCGGATGCCAAGACTCTGGTGTAATGATACTTACATCCGCACCTGTGTCCAGTAAGCCAGTAATAAGTTTGCCATTTACACACACTCTTAGCTGTGGCCTTTGTTCATTTATAGAAGTCTGCCAGAATATTCGTTTACTTTGTCCTCTTAGATTTCTTGATTCATTCACCACATTTAACTCATCCTTCAGGCCGTTATTGCTTTTAACAGCAGGCATGGGGCATTCTAATTTCCCTGAAGAGGCATGTTCTCTGCAGTGATCGGAAATGACTGGACCACATTTGCCATGGGGGCCTTCGAGAGGCCCCCTATTGAGTTTCCCGATGGCAACGGGTTGCCCTGTTTATCTCTTGTTGACCTACACTCATTCGTCCAATGCCTGCCCTTTCCACATCTCCTACATAAACCTGAAGGCTGAGTCCTCCTATTCCTGTTATTCCTAGAAGAGGCATTATTCCTGGACTTCCATTGTCTGCAGTCCCTTTTCATGTGTCCCATTTTGCCACAATGAAAGCATTTTGTAATCTGATGTCTCCTTTTACCTTTGGAAATTGCTTCTTGTACCCATGTTTCATTGCCATAATCAAATGTATCAACATTCATTGTATGTAAAACCCATTCGTCCAAAGGCGCTGATCTGAGCTTTAAAGGCCCCAGGATCCTTTTGCATTCTACATTGGCATTCTCATAAGCCAAAGACTCAATTACTATATTTCTTGCTTCTGGATCAGGTATCCCTATTTGTACAGCCTTAGTTAGTCGTTGCAAAAAATCACTAAAGGGTTCTCTCTGACCCTGTTTGACCCTGACATACGATTCTACTCTCTGACCTGAGTCTTGAACCCTGTCCCAGGCCCTTAGAGCTGCTGTAGCACATATGGATAAAATGTTTTCATCATAAAGAGCTTGTTCCTGAGGATCAGAGTAAGGTCCTTCCCCTAGAATTTGATCTAGAGAAACTTCAATTCCTTTCGCTGATTCTTGTTGTTGTAAAAGTCTGGCCTCTTGTTTGAATAGGCATTTGAAATGCCATAAAGGTCCGTTCTCAAGGACAGCTGATGTGAGCTGGTTCCAATCTTTAGGGGTGGCCCTGTTGCTCAGAGCCCAGGATTTTAACATCTCCCTAACAAAGGATGAATGTAGTCCATAATTCACAATTGCTTGTTTAAATTCTTTCAGATCATTCATACGTATAGGCTCCCATGTATGTTCTTTAACGACCTTAGGGTTTTTGGAGCCAGTTATCTTTTCTGATGTTATTACTGGAAAGGCAGGTATAACTCTATGTAGACTGAGAGTTTTTTGAGGTGAAGGTTGCCTTTCTACCTTTTGCTCCTGTTCATCAGAGTCTATGATTTCCTCAATCTTATTAAATCTGCTCACCATTGCCTTCTGTAAGTCCTGAATCTCCTGTCCAGTATTATGCTCCAAAGCCTTCATTAACGATTCTAAGGCATGGAGCTTGTCCGTCAGAGACACGATATCCTCCTTGGACATAATCCTCATGGCATGTACTGTGCCTTCTTGTATGGAAATCCTGTCAATTAATCTATCATACCCTTTTGATAAAGTCCGATTTTCACATTCAATGGTTATAATCCTCTCAGCTAATGTTTCAGCACTTACAGTCATGGACTGGAGGTTATGCGTCATTTTGGTTGTCCCCTCCTCCAGGGCAGTGACGCTCCCTTCTAAAGAAGCAATATCAGACTGTACCTTCTTGATATTTTGGCCAGTTGACCGAGTCATATCAAACAAAGATCTATTCTCCTCCTTGAGAACTCCAAACTCTGATCTAGTCTCCTGCTTGAAAACTCCAAACTCTGATCTAGTTTCCTCCTTGAAATCTCCAAACTCTTTTTTGAGGAGGTTGGTATCAGTCTGAATTGTTCTTAAGGTTTTAATCTCTGCCCTCAGCATTGTAGATTCAGTCTGTAAGGACTGTATCTTTCTTATAAAATAGCCAAACACCAGAAAAGCAACAGATCCCAGGAATAACAAAGTAAGAGGAATATCTGAGACATTCTTCAGAATATCCTCCATAGCGCAACTGAAAAAACCATTGAACTTTTGGATAGTAATATTTTCCGACATTTTCAATCAAAGGAAATTGTACTTGTATGTATGTATGTATGTATTTATTTTCAACCGAAAAGAAAAATCTTACCTGTAATGACCGTTGCCTGCCAGTAGGAGGTGGGGCGTACCTGAATCCACGTGGCAGTGGTATTGATTGAGGAAGTAAACTCTAGAATATATACACTCAAATCCAGAGGTTAAATCCACAGATCACAAAAGGTCAGAGAGCTTCTAGTGGCCAATAAACAAGGCAATAAACAAGGCCCTGCTGCTCTGTTCAACCGGATGCAGAGGGTCGTGACACAGCCACTGCGCTGTTGCTAAAGAGGCCTAGTGCTTTGGGCCCCGTGTCCCTGTGCTGGGATTAAGGGTCAAGCTGCTTTCAGCACTCCTAATCAGTTATGGGTTTCAAACAGCTTGCTGGAACTTCAAAGGGAGCTTGCGCTGTGAGCTCTTTGACTCACGTTGCAAGGAGAAATTTAAAAATCCGTGCCGAACAGGGCAAAGTAAGCCAGCAGAGACTGTCCGGACCTGTGTATCCTGGGAGGCCGAGCTGGGGGTGGGGGGGTGGGGTTAAACCAAACGCTGGGCGCCAATTATTAACGAATCAATCCCACACCAGTTATGTTTTAAGGGGTTATTTATTTGGCGGGGGGTAAAACTTACATACACCATAAACCGTCAGGAAGGGAGCCTAGTCGCTGGAGCAGGAGCCGGGAGCAACAGCCGAGACCGAGCACCGGAACCAAGAGCCGGAACCAAGAGGGCCTATTCCGGAACTGCTTCTCTTTTTAAGAGAGAAATATACCACGCCCCAGTGGGCTGGTATTTCAGCAGCTATTGGCTGACGGAGCGGAAGTCGCTCCCCGCTGCACTGTGGGCTCCTGCTTCAGTGATTATTGGTTGAGGCAGCGGAAGTTACTCCCACAACATAATAATCTCTATGTATCTAAAGAACCTGATTAGTCTAATTATAAATATGACATAGATGACTATTGATCTATAATTCTTAATACCTATATAACTTGAAGACTAAGATAATAAACAACTGTGCAATAAATGAGGACAATAACCTCCAAATGTAAAGAATGTAGAAGTATCTTGAGCAGAGGTAGAAATGTACACTGCAATATGGTAAATATACATAACAATACATTAAAATGTTTTAAACAAAGGTAGACGCATGCATGCATACAATATTTAATATAATTTAACTTTGTTTCAATATACAAGAATTTATACCAATGTAATTGTCTATAAATAATAACTCACAAATACCAACCTATTATCCCATCATCCAATTTTCCCTCTTCTTTTTTTTTTCAAAAAGATCCCTGAGCTTATAAAATTCCTCCCACAACCCTCAACTGTATACCAATTATAATCAACCCCTAAATGATGTCCCTACGCCCGAGGACAAACTTTGCTGGGAGAGGGGATATCATGGAGTTTAAATCCATGTGGACACCAAGTGAAGACAGAGATATTGGATACTTAAAAAACAAAAAACAAAAAAAAAAAACTCACACTGGCTCAAAACTGAGAAATAAATAGTTATTTATTTAGGAAAAAAAACCTTTCAAATCAGGATTATCTGCTTAAACGAAGGATAAAGACTGGATCCAAAACCAGCCAAATGAACAAATAAAAACAAGGGAGTGGGGGAGAGGCCGGGCGCACTTCAGTGTCCAGTAGGCGGGTAAACCTTCCTGCAGCAGGTTACCTAAGTGCTACCCAACCTCCCTGAGCTAGCAGGTTTCCACCCCGACCTTTAAATCCCGAGTTTTATTTATAAGTCGAACAATGCAGATTTAATTAAATCTACTTTTAGTGGCAGTGGCAGAGCCAGTGCCCGCAGGAACAGAATTTCCAAGGCAGGGCTCAGGCAGAGAAGCAGGCAGCACCTGCAGAGTCCCAATCGGTGGCTGAAAGAGCAGTCGATTAAGGAGCAGTCACTGTGCCCAAGTTAAAACAACAAATCCCCAAACTGGGATTGTTGGGGTTTACTCTTTTATATTTTACTTTAAAGTTGTGTTTATTTATGTGTCTGTGCACAAAAAAGTTGGAAAACGGTCAAGGGATGTAAATAATCTCAGCCCCTGTTTTGTTCAGCACCTAAGCCTAGGAAAACTCTCATGGCTTTTGTGAGCTTTGAGTGGAGTTCAGGGCTTTATGCTTCGTCAGGCAATACCAAAGCTGGGTACACTGGGTCAATGAAACATCACCAGTGGACACCAAAGAGGAAACAGAGCTTTCCTGAGCTCCGCCTCAACTAGTGAAGCCTAATAAAGTGTTATTTACATACCTAGACACAGCCTAAGAAAATAAAATCACCTTCCTTCCTTCCTTCCTTCCTTCCTTCCTTCCTTCCTTCCTTCCTTCCTTCCTTCCTTCTTTTCTTTTTGAGGGAGCAGCAATTTTCTTTAGAGTTCTTTCAGAATCTATTTTTTCTTGAATTTTGAATGTTTATAAATATACAGTTGAATTGTTCTCAGAATAGGTTGCACTAGAGTAATTTGAGTTATTTTGAGGTGGGTGGTATACCTAACACTCTAGTCTTCCTTAAAGTCCAATATACAGTTAACTTTTTTGTGCATGTATGCGTATGTCATGTGCACGAATATCAAGATATGCATACATGCTGTGTGTGTATGTGCGTGTGCATATGCATGTATATATGCAGCTGGAGATCAGAGATTGATGCCAAGGACCTTTCTCAATCACTTCTCCACTTCCACATTTTGAGACAGCGCTCACTGAAGCTGGAGTGCACCAGTTGACTAGATTGGCCAGACAGAGAGTTCTGGTTCATCCTGTCTCTGCCTCGCCAGCACTGAAAGCCACCCCTGACCTTTTTCTCACATAGGCGCTGGGGACCCAAAGGCAGGTCCTCACAGTTTCAGTTTACCTGTGGGCTATCTCCCTCGCCCTTAGGACTGGGGTCTCCTTTGGAGAGTGAATGTGTCCTTGAAGGGTCTAGCGTATTTCAGGCTCCTGAATAGAAATAGATGGAGACGTTAGACTTGGGCTGTAGTCATCAGTTTTAGGTACTTAATCACTGACAGAGAAGTATCTATTAATTAATTGTGTATGATTGGGGTTGAGAGGGTAAAGTTCAAGGAGCGCTTACAGTCTAATTCCTCTAGGACCCACTATCGGACATCATTTTCCTTCATATTTCACTTGATATCACTCCATCAGTGATACTCAGAGACTCTCATCCTGGGACCAATTGAGGGCTTGTTCGTTTAGTCCTGTATTCACCAGTTTATATTTAAAAGCACCTTTTATTTGCCAAGCAGAAAGAAAATAGACAAATGCTTTTCAAAGGAACAGGTTGCAATCTGAAAACGATGGAGCCTAATGTAGCCAGTGCCTGCTACCTAGCCAGGACCAGTGCCTGGTATCTGACACGTACACCGAGATGAAATGCACCCAGCAGCATCTATCCTGATCACTGACTAAACCGGAAGCTGTCTGTCCTCCCCACACTCTGTGTCATCTACAAACTGTCTGGGTCTTTAGCATGGGTCAGCATGTCTTGCCCCTTCCAACCGAAGGCAGAGTCTTATCATCTGGTTTCATACGAAGACTTTCAAGGCATAGATATCATTATTTTACTTCTAGTTATGATTCATGAAGGAAGTTGTTCGGTCCCCAAATCTCTTTTTAATATTACTGCTTAAGTATTTCTTTAGATGAGGTTTTTACTGTGCCTCTCAAGCTGATCTTGAACTCTGGGGCTTAGGCTATCTCTTGGCCTAGCCTCCCAGGCACCCGAGACTACAGGTGTGCACGGCTGTGTCTGCTTCCAGTTCTGTGTGGACAATGTTGTTCTTGTGAGACTCCCCTCATCTTCTCTGTGTTTGGGAAGTTGCTAGAATCATGTCCAGATGCTGAAGTGCCTTTTGTCAAAAGAGAAACAAATGCACCATTTTTTCTTTGATTTCAAAGGAACAACAGATATGGATTGTTGCTGTGTTGTTTTGTTTTTGTTTTCAGGATCTGCTTTGTTAGAATCTGAAGGACAGTAATAATCTATATAATAATCTATATGTTGGGAGCTAACACACAACATGATAATATTAGAGTGGGCAGCTAGGGCTGGTGGCCACCATTTGTAATGCCAGCAGTAAAGAGGGACCTTTGCGGCCAGGCTGGGCTATTATTCTCGTTGGATCTCTATTGCTGTAATAAAGTCCTGACCAAAAGCCACTTAAGAAGAACAGGGTTTATTTGACTTAACATTTCTAGACATCCATCATTGAGGGCAGGAACTCGGCACAGGAGCTGGAGGCAGGAACTAAAACAGATACCATGGAGGATGCTGCTCACTGGCTTGCTGCAATTGCAATTATTCCACAGCCCAGGACCATCTGCCCGGGAGTGGGGGCGCGTGGACACCACCTACGGCTGGCTGGGCCCTCCTTACAGGTCAGTCTGATGTTAGCATTTTCTGAATGAAGGTTGCCTCTTCTCAGATGACTCCAGGTTATGTGAAGTTGACAGACGAACCAGCACAGCTGTGCATTAAGAACTGGTTGCATGAGGTGGCTCAGTCAGGAAAAGCACCGCTACGCAAGCTTGACAGTGTAGGACCCAAGGAAAGATAGAAGGTGAGAACTACTCCACAAAGTTTGCTCAGATTCGCATCTGCTGTGGCTGCAGTCCTTCACCCACCAGTGTGTGCCTTTACACACAGAGCCAACATAATCATGACGATGACAAGAAACAATAACAGCAACAATAGCAGCAACAATAACACATTTTAAAACAACAGAAAAGAAGTGATGAAGTCACAGGCCCTCACGACCGGATCTGTGTGAAGTCACAGGGGCCTCACGACTGGATCTGTGTGAAGTCACAGGCCCTCACGACCGGATCTGTGTGAAGTCACAGGGGCCTCACAACTGGATCTGTGTGAAGTCACAGGGGCCTCACGACTGGATCTGTGTGAAGTCACAGGGCCTCACGACTGGATCTGTGTCTTTATTTAAGTGGCTACAGTGAGTTCCCTTGCTACTTTCCTCCTCATGAAAATGAATTCAGAAGGTGTCGTCAAAGCCGCAGAGAACAAAACTGTTGGTACCTTTGTCATGGGCTTCCTAGTCTAGAAAACAGTGAGTAATGAGTTGCCCAGTCTGCCCAGTCTAGGGTATATTGCTACAGCAGCCCTCATAGACTAAGCCATGCTAACTCATTAGGAACTTCTAGCTCTATTAAATCCCCCATGGGAAAGACAGTTTCTAATGCTGAAAGTTACCGAGAACTAACATTCTCTGTTCTCTGTGGATGAAAGTCTGGGCCCCTGTGATTGTTCTAGAACTTGATCCTGCTTGTTTACAGTTCACTGTATTCTAACTACACAGACAGGATGGTGAAAGTGGCCTACACCAGCAAAGCACATGGATTTGATATTCCACACTGGAAAATTAAGGTCATCTGGTTTTTGCTGTAAACATTTTTTGAAAGTCTAAACATAAAGCATTGGTCCAATTCATCAATATCTTGGGAAGACTTTAGCCATTATATGTCATAATAGAATGCGCTGTGTATTTTTTCTGTAAGGGGGAGAAAACCCAGACTGTCACGTTATCAGTTAAAACCACACTACAAAGAAACATTTGAAACTGAAAGCAAAGCTTATTTGTAAGCAGTGAGGTAGAGATATTCTGGAAGGGGAAAAAACCCTTGAAGACATAAAAATGCATGTTAAGAGTTAAAATAATTGCATACCCTAGCAACCTTTTGCTGACATCTAAAATATTCCCAAGTTTTATATGCTGTTCTTTATTTATTTAAGTTGCCCATGCAGTTTGAATTAGCTCCACTATGGTAAAACCAGCTTTACTGAAGTTGAAATGCACTACTGCAGCCGTGTGTACACAGATTTTCAACATAAACTGTAATTCATAAAGCTCAGCGCAACTCTTTTCTTTGTAGTTGGGTAACCATTTATGTTTGAGGTGAAGATGTTAATATGGAAATTTTCTGAGCTCAGAAAGAGGACGAATGCTATCATTCTAATTTACGACCTTTCTTATAAGGCCAAACGTAAAGGCAACTACAATTGTTTTATAACCCAGAGCCAGCACATAGCAGACGTATGAAATCTGGAGTGTTAGATATAAACTTTTATTACCAAATTATAAATAATTTCTACCACTTATAATGTTCACCTTTCAAGTTCATCTTGATTAGAATACAAGGGCAGCCGCACAGTAATCTCGCCGCACTTTCCAGCTGAGAGAGGCTCTCTGAAGTCCCGCGGGATGAAACATTACAGCATTTAGGGCACCCTGCTCATGGGGCTCAGACCCAGGTCCCATCTACTGAAATCCAAGTCCCACCAAAGTGATGGCTGACGAAGTTCAAGCACCGTGTAAACATATCAAATATTATATCTGAAGCCAAGTACTCATAATGTAGAATAGAAACTCTTTTTAGGTTAAACAAAAGACATATTGGCTTTTGTGGAGAGTCTGAATGAAAATATACCTCCTGTAGGCTCAAAGATTTTAATATTTGATCCCCAGTTGGGAGCGCTGTTTGGGGAAAGTATAGAGCTTTTAGGAGGTACAGACTTTCTGGAGAAAGTGTATTACTGGGCTGGGACTGCAGGTGTGGGGGGCAGGTTTCAGAAGTCTTATATCCTGGCCCCAGCTTTCTGATATCTGTCTCTCTGTCTGTCTGTCTCTGTCTGTTGTCGGTATCTCTGTCTGTCTGCATCTCCCTCCCCCACACCAGCTTCATACATGTGGATGAAGATGTGATCTCTCAGTTCTGACCATCTTCTGCCATGCCTTCTTCGCCATTGTGAACGCTTCTTTCAGGCACCATATAAAGTCTTTCTTCTGTAAGTCCCTTTGGGTCATGTTTTATTGCAGTGACATTTGCCTATCCGTCAATTAATGCAGGAATATCTCAGAAGATGTTTAATTCTAGAATGAAATGAAAAATATTTTCCTTATCATTTGCTGTAACAAATAATTTTCACATTTCCTTGAAAATGGTAGACGAGTGGACAGAGAACAGCATGGCTTAGATGCTGTTATTACCCAGGCTGCAGGCCCGGGAGAGGCCTAGGTCCCCACCAGCACAGCACACTGGCTAAGGCACTGCTCAAACAACATCAGTCACTGTTCTCGGAAGTGTCGCACTGATGTTCAATATTAAAATATGCTTCGGAAAATGCTGGCAAATCCAGTCCAATGTCTGTTTTATCATCCAGTCACTCATATACTCAGTGGGCTGTTGGATGCTTCATGAAATAAGCCAGACATGAGACCTTCTCTTATCAAAAAAAAAAAACCAAACAAAACAAAAAATATGACACTCAAAAACATAGCTATTCAAAGGAGATCGTTCAGTCAGTCAGTCACTAAAGTATTTACCGAACAAGCAAAGGACCTAAGTTTTAGCCTCAGAACTCATGTAAAAGTTGGGCATGGTGGGTATGTTTGTATTCCCAGTTCCGGGGAGGCAGAGACAGGTGTATGTATCCACAGGGCTCATTGGCTAGTCAGCTTAGCTGATTAGGCAAGTCCTAGGTCATAGTGAGAGATTCTGTCTCAAAATGCAGGTCCCAAGAAATGACACTCAATGTTGTCCTCTGGTGCACATGCACATACATGTTGTCAGGGTTTCTGTCCTGCCTGGTTCCCACAATTGTTAAGTCCAAAAGAAATCACACAGAGGTTTACAATAGGTATAAACTGATTGGCCCATTAGCTCAGGCTTCTTATTAACTCTTATAACTTATATTAGTCCATTATTCTTGTCTATGTTAACCATGTGGCTCAGTACCTTATTCAGCAAGGCAGTCACATCTTACTTCTTCTGTGGCTGGGTCACGACTGCCGGCCAAGCTTTCCTCTTCCCAGAATTCTCCTGTTCTCATTGACCCACCTCTACTTCCTGTCTGGTTGTCCCACCTATTCTTCCTGCCTGGCTACTGGTCAATCAGCATTTATTTAAAATATCATCGACAGAATACAGATCATTGTCCCATACCACGTACACACAAATTAAAAAAAAAAAGAATTGGCACAAAGAATTGTAGAAGCACACAGCTAACAATGGCATGGCAAGAGTAAACCTCAGCATTTTACAGCAGCACACCTCTATCTTGGGAATAACGGCTTTAGAAGGTTGAGAAGAAAATGCTAAGACCAAGAGAAAACATTTGCAAAGGACATGTTGGCAAATGGTTATTAGCTCACATCTAGAAAGAGTGCCTATAACTCAACAACAAAAAGGATGACTTGATTCAAAACTATACCAAAGGCCTGAACAGTTACATGGCCAAAGAAGATGTACAGATGGAAGCCAAGTGTAGGAGATCACACTCCACATCATGTGACTAGGACAACAATGCGATTCTACAATGCATTTCTTGGAGCAGCCCACATCTACAATACTGGAGACATGATGTTCGAGTAAGAACGAGGAGCACAGAGGTTGCTGTTCACTGCTGAGGCCATGAGAAGGGAGACGGCACAGCCATCCTTGCAGAACTGAAAACACACTTACTGCACACCATCCTCCATCTTGTTGTGCTCCCAGGAAGAGTTCTTGATGCTTTCACTAACAGTTTAAAACTTGATTCCAGGGGCTGGAGAGATGCCCGGTGATTCAGTAATTGTCATAGCTTGGAGACAACCAGACTAACCTTTAGCAAGTAAATGAACAAACCAACCGAGGTACATCCATATGGAATATTACTCAGCACCTAAAAGACATGAGTTATAAAGGCATGGAGAAATTTAAGCCAATCTAAAAAGACTGTGTAGAGTATATCATGTCTATAAAACTCTATAAAGGGCAAATCTCCATGGAAGAAAAAAAATAATGAGTGATTGGCATGACTAAGAGGAATGAAGAGGATGTTGAGGGCTGAGGAACTATCCTCTATAATATAATAATTGTGGACACATGGAATTATGTATGTGTCAAAACCTATGCTGATATAGAGATCAATAATTTGCATTGGTATGGATCTTGGTTTATAGACACAAATTAAAGATCAATTTTGTTAATATATATACATATATATTTTTCTGCTCTTGATTAAGATATTATGTTTGTGCAGCTCATTTAAAAACATAATGTATAATTAAGAAATATAGGTTAATAGAGAGTCATCTATAATAGTCAAGCTTGTAGTCATGCTAGTTTTTCTAGATATACAGAGATGTACTCCAGAGAGATAGACAGTCTTCAGATCTTTCATAAACTACAGAATATGGTATTTAAATTGTTTTAAAAACTTATGACTTTTCATGACATGAGACACATCTGTTCCTGGCAGCACCAATTACTTCAAGAGGATGATGGGCAACAAAGAGGCTCCTTATGAAGTTTGTTAGCTTAACTGGACATCCAGGATCCACAGAGAAATAACTGTTGAACTTGCCTAAAGGTGAGATGGTCCTTTAGGGTTCCTGCTTCATGAAAGAGTCTGCCAGACCTTCTGTAGGACACAGAAAAAAGCAACTGATAAACTTTGCCATTACAACGCAGAACAGATCTTCAGATTTCCTGCTTCATGGAAAAGTCTGACGAATATTATGGACCTGTAGGCTGAAGATGGATGCTCCAATGATACACAGAACTTTGGGTGACTGTCTGGGCAGCGAGATGTCTCTGTCTTTTTAGAGTTTTTGGAAGTTGCTTACAATGCAACTTAATTAACTTAGGTAATATTATATCCTTCCAGAATTTTTGATGGAGTTGAAGAATAGATAGTAATAATTATAGGTTTCCTTAGTTATGATAAAAATAAGTAGATATAAATATTGTAACTGTTGACAGAGAGGCAAAAAATATCAAGTGGAAAAAAGAGAAAGCATATTTAACAAATGGTGCTGTCATAACTGGATATCAACATGTAGAAGAGTGAAATAGACCCACATCTATCACCATGCACAAAACTCAAGTCCAAATGGATCAAAAACCTCAACATAAAGTCAGCCACACTGAACCTCATAGAAGAGAAAGTGGGAAGAACACTTGAATGCATTGGCACTGGAGCCCACTTCCTAAATATAACCCCAGCAGCACAGACACTGAGAGAAACAATTAATAAATGAGACCTCCTGGAACTGAAAAGCTTCTGTAAAGCAAAGGACATGGTCAACAAGACAAAATGACAGCCTACAGAATGGGAAAAGAACTTTACCAACCCCACATCAGACAGAGGTCTGATCTCCAAAATATACAAAGAATTCAAGAAATTAATTGGTCATCAAAAGAACAAATGATTCAATAAAAAATGGGGTACAGACCTAAACAGAGAACTCTGAACAGAGGAATCTAAAATGGCTGAAAGACACTTAAGGAAATGTTCAACATCCTTAGTCATCAGAGAAATGCAAATCAAAACAACTCAGAGATTCCATCTGTAAGAATGACCAAGATCAAAAACATTGATGATAACTTATGCTGGAGAGGTTGTAAGGTAAAAGGAACACTTCTGCATTGCTGATGGGACTGCAAACTGATAAAAACCCCTTTAGATATCAATGTGGCGATTTCTCAGAAAACTAGGAAACAACCTTCCTCAAGACCCAGGAATAACACTTTTGGGTATATATCCAAAGGATGCTCAATCGTGCCACAAGGACATGTGCTCAGCTATGTTCATAGCAGCATTATTTGTCATAGCCAGAACCTGGAAACAACTTAAATGCCACTTGACCGAAGAATGGATAAAGAAAATGTGGTACATTTACACAATGAAGTACTACATAGCAGAAAAAAATAACGACATCTTGAAATTTGCAGGAAAATGGATGGAGCTAAAAAACATTATACTGAGTGAGGTAACCCAGACCCAGAAAGACAATTATCATATGTACTCACTCATAAGTGGTTTTTAAAGTAAAACAAAGAAAACCAGTCTACAAATCACAATCCCAGAGAACCTAGACAATAATGAGGATGCTAAGAGAAGCATACATGGATCTAATCTCCATGGGAAATAGTAAAAGGCAAGATCTCCTGAGTAAATTGGGAGCATGGGGCTCATGGGAGAAGGTTGAAGGGGAGGGAAAGGGCAGAGAGGGGAGCAGAAAAAATGTATAGCTCAATAAAATCAATAAAAAAGAAAAAATAATAAATATTGTAACTGTAATTCTTTCTTGATACCTGTTTTGTTATATGTAATTTTGCTATGTTAAAGTTAAAACCTTTCTTTTTATTTATACAGAAAAGGGGAGATGATGTGGGAAGTCCTCTGTATGTGTGTTGCTTTTATTGGTTAATGAAGAAGGACACTGCTTTGGCCTGTGAGAGAGTAGAATAGAGCTAGGCAGGAAAGCTAAACTGATTGCTGAGAGAAAGAAGGCAGAGTCAGGGAGAAGCAATGTAGCCACCACTGGAGATAGGCACACAGGAACCTAGCAAGTAGGCCATAAGCCTTGTGGTAAAATATAAAATAATAGAAATTGGTTACTTTAAGGTATGTGTTAATCAGAAATATTAAGCTATTGGCCAAGCAGTGATTTAGATAATATAGTTTCTGAGTGATTATTTCATGGTCTGGGCAGCCGGAAATGAACAAGCAGCCTCCTACTACACTATGTAGTGTGTATCGGGGTGCATCCCAATGTCAATGATGGTCTTTACCTGATACTGTCAGCTTACTACTGTGACATCTGACCTAAGTACACTGGACTAAGCTTGCCCAATTATTTTTAAGATGTTAAAGTCTCCCTAATAAAGTTATGTGTGGAATTTTGAAGACTGGCTTTTGAACTGGAATCTGGAAAAAGTTTGGGTAGGTTTTCCTTGTAAACACAGGATGAGGATCTGGAGAGCGTACCCGTGGCATGTGGAGCTCTGTCTGGTGTTTTAGCAAGGCCACTTCTGAGCAACTGAGAGGTTTTTTTGTAATGAACACATATTTATAGGTTTGTTGCCTTGGGGCTTTATAGGGCTGTGCCCTTGAAGACAGTGGCAGCTATTCTGCAGACAAACCGGGCCCCCAAAACTCTTCTCACTCCGTGCTCACCAGCCAGGCCTGAGGGCTGCAGCACAGCTCCATGCAAAGTGAAAGCAGCTATGACTATACCTGTCTCTGTCTACATTTGTAACACACACACAATGACCAGAATCATCAGTGAGGAATGCAGTACACTTTCCTTTTTTGAGACAAGGATTCAAATAGCTCAGCTGGTCTCAGATTCATTTTGTAACTGAGGATGAACTTGAATTTTTAATCTCCCTGTACCCATACTTGTGTGTGCAACATCATGTAGTGGCAGATATGTTAACACACACTGAGCATGCCATCAACTGCTAGACCCTCAGCTTCAAGTTTGATTTAGAAAGCAATTTATTTTAGGGACAGAGTATAGAATGCTTCTTCTTTGTAGACAGCTTGATTTAAATGCGACTTTACTTATATTGTTAATTTTATACTTTATATTTCAAGAGTCTAAAATGCTGTCTTATTACTGTCTGTAACTGATGGCTTTGACATCAACTGGGATTACACAGAGGAACTGAAGGATATGGCTGTTATCAAATCTCACCCAGTTGTTCTCTGTCCATGACACCAGTCACAGGCCTATAGCTTTTGCCCTTCTCTAAGAGGAACTTAGAAAAGAAGGAACCATTTTCTGTCTCAGGAAACAATTCTGCATCTTAGATCTTCAACAGGGGCGGGAAGCAGTTCTTTGACGGTATTATAACTGTGGTGATGGATAAAATCAGAAATATAATTAAAATATAAATTCAAAATACAATATAAAATATAAATAAAAATGTCACTATAAATGAAAGCATGGGTATAGAAAGGAATCAGGTCTTCCTGTAATCTTTTCGTTCTATAAATAGAAAGCATACACTAACAATTCATGCAATATCCCAAACCAATTCCCATACAACACTTAAATGGTATCTGCATCCAATTTTCAATTAAACTAGTTTGTAATGTCTTCTTAGAATTGGCGCCATTATAATTCAGTTGCTTTAAATGATTTGTATTTTTGTTGTAGCAACATTGCTATGGAAACAATCTGTAGCAGTAACTTAAACTTTATCCATTTAATTAATATTTATAAGTAGGCTTGGGGGCTTGAGGCTTCTAACTTTTCTTTTTTAATTATTTTATGAAGCCGAGCAGCAGTGACGCCGGCCTTTAAGTCCAGCATCAGGGAGGCAGAGGCAGGCGGATCTCAGTGGGTTCCGAGCCAGCCTGTCCTACAAAATGAGTTGCACGACAGTCAGGGCTTTTACATAGGGAAATCCTGTCTCTAAAAGCCAAAATAAAACAAAACAAAACAAAACAAATTAAATCTATTTCCGGGTACTTACAATAGTCTATTCGTTTTTGTTTCCTATGGTTTTAAGGTATTCTTTACTGTAATGAAATCTCAAAAGATCACTTCTAGTATTTTTTTGTTGGTTGTTTTGTTTTTGTATTCGATTTTCTGGCAAGAGAGGACATCAGAACACCGGACCTTTACTCCCCCCACCCCCGGACACCAAATTTCTCACTGAACAAACCAGTTCTTGCAGGTGAGCATTCCGTCCCAGCATGACCTTTTTGATCCTCGCGGGCTGCCGTAGCTAAGGAGGCCGCTAATTGGATGAGGCGGGAAAGCGCGCTGCCGGGGGCGGTTTCGGTTTTCGCCGCGCGCGTCCGTAAAGGCCCGGCCCGTGAAGGCTTCGGATCCGGCTGCGAGGTGAGTCCGCGGCCCGGGAGGGGCGAGTGGGAGCTGGTGGGCGCTGGGGCGGTCGGCCTAGGTCGCGGAGGCCCGGGCCGGGCGGGGGATTAGCGGCCTCCTTAGCTAC